GTAGTAGTAGTAGTAGTAGTAGTAGTAGTAGTAGTAGTAGTAGTAGTTAGTAGTTAGTAGTTAGGAGTTAGCAGTTAGCAGTTAGCAGTTAGGAGTTAGGAGTTAGGAGTTAGCAGTTAGGAGTTAGTAGTTAGTAGTTAGTAGTTAGTAGTTAGTAGGTAGTAGGTAGTAGGTAGTAGGTAGTAGTAGTAGTAGTAGTTGTAGTAGAAGTCAGTCGCTTCCAGTGTGCTTTGGCCGGGTTTGGGCGGTGATTTTAGCCCATGTTGGAAGACTTGATCTTTCATGGACCAGTCTTCCAGCACTGTTTGGAACATGATCAAACAGGCACCAAACAGTCACCAAAAGCATCAGCATCCTCCTAGAGGATTCCGAGAGCTTCTCACCCAACCAGGCATTTTTCTGTGAACTTTCGCCTGCTTTCATCACTGCTTTCTTCCACTGTTTGCGCTTCTCTGGCTCATCGTCTTCCAGTTGTTCGAGTGTTCGGCTCGAGGACGCAGAGGGGCTGAGGGCTTTGGCTCTCACCGAGGATTTACAGAAGCTCTTGGATGGCGCCCCTTTGCTGCGTCAGGCCCTAGACTCTGACGAAACGACCTGGGAGGAAGTACACAGTGCGTCTGGGGCGGAAACAGGTGTCAAAAGGGGAACCCGTTTTTCTGGCCTGTCATGTTTTGTCAAATATGATCATATAATATGTGGATTTTGACTCGGCCTGACTCGGCCATGTGGTGTGGCTGTTGTTTATTTCGAATGAATTGATCGGCAGAAGAGCAAGCCTTGGACTTCCGGGTTGGACTCTCTGATGGTTCTCCACCAGCCCCTGGAAGATCAATCATGCAAAGATCTGCAGAGTAATATAATATATAGGGTTCATGTGCTATACTGTTTCTTCCCATGACACCCTTGTTTCGCAAACGTTGTTGCATCATATGTGGTGCATCATGGCTCGACTGTCAAGCGCTCCTACCTTATGGCCCTGCCGTTGAGATCATCGAGTTGGAGGGAATAGGGATTCCTTGAACCATGTTGAACATGCTGAGATGCTGGCTACTACCACTGACAAAAGAAGTGGTTTGCTTCTCGAAGCCCAGCACACTGCTCCAGCTCCCCAATGCTCCCCACATCCGAAGCACGCCTTTGCCTACCGTGTCACTGGATTCTTGAAGCAGGAAAAAGTCACCCCGCAATCCGAGATATGATAGTGCTAGCTGCTAGCTGTAATTTTGCTTGGCCATTGTTTGGAGCGTAGGTGTGAGGTCTGGGGGTCAGGCTTCCAGGCGTCCAGGCGGCCCAAAAAAGCCGGAGCGACATGTCCTTGTCCCGGAGATGGCTCTGAAGAGATGAGTTGGCTTGCTTCCGTTCGGAAGCAAGCTGATGGCAGACAGCCCGTTCAGAAGGACTTTGAAGAGACGCACAATCCATTTAGCTTCTGCCACGCCACCAGGGGGGAGGGGATGAAAGCGTCCAAGGGCATAACATCAGTCCTTTGACTGGCACATGGCAAGGAATGGGTGGCATGGATCCAAAGTTTCCAAAGGAATCTCCATTGGGTCATTCATTCCCTCATTCCATCTCATACCAGTCAGTTGATGCTGAAACAAAGCCCCACCAAACAGCGCCGAAACCGCTGCTTCCGGTTCGAGTGAAGGCTGAGGCTCCAAGAGCTCTCAGGCCCGTGGCTGGAAAGCCCCCCCCAGCAGAGCGCGCCACGCACGCCTGCAGGGGGAAGTGGCTATAGAAGGAAGAGTAATCCCAGAGGTGATCGTGGTTCCAGCAAAGACTTGGAAGAGTGAACATGAAATCAGCAGATTTTTACAATACTTCTTGTCTTCTTACGAGCAGACTTCCCATGAAACATCCTCAACGTAGCCCACCCCTAACGCTGAACAAAAGATGATCTCAATATATCTCAATGTCAAGCCAGCTAGAATCCCACACAAGGACTCCATTGGGCGGGGCAAAATGGGCCGCTGGCGGCCCATTTGGCCGCCAGATTTGCTTTTCTTCATCACCGCAGAAATTCCCCTGCTTCAATCCATCGAATCCCTTTCCGGGTGAACCACTCCGGAGTTCGGGTGCTTGTTCGCTTCTGCCATGGGCAACGCGAGCCCAGCCTGTGCGTCCAAGCTGAGCTGCTCGGTCGAAAGTGGCGGAGAACACCTGGAGCACCTGTTGAAGACGGACACGCCTAGCACAACCTGCAACAAACACACTCAATTTCATTTGGGCTTGTTGATTAACAACCTCCAATTTGGATTGCCAAAACTGTTCATGATAACATGTTCTTTCATGTTCTTTTGAATAAACACATTATATGAAACACCACGGTGTTCATCATATTTCAAAGGCTTGAGGTGCCCTTCTCTCTCGCACCGATGTCCACGACTGAAGTCCCTTTGGAAGAATCTTTGTGAATAAGCATACCTGATTACACCTGAACACACCTGGACCCTATACCGATCCGAAGTGCTAATATCAGCTGTCACCCCTTTAACTCTCCACGAAAAGCCACCATTTCGGAGACTTGTAGAGTCGTTTGCTGGTACACGCTATACATCAAGACTGCTTTACTTGATTTATCTCATACTATCTCACACATGTCTTTTGACTAAAGGGATGACATCCAGGGAAAATCAACTGAAGCACATTGTGTTCTTCCTCCAAAAGATGAATCCTTGTCTCCGACGGACAGCTGTAGTTTAACAGGTTGCGGCCAAGTGGAAGCGCAGCGGCCGGGGCAGCTAAGATGGGAGCCGCGGTCGAACGGGCTGAGCAGGTCGACTGTGAGCTACAGCAGTTGAAGTGATTTTGGAGATGCCAATCACCGATAAGCTGAGTATAGTTCATATTTTTTTGATGTTGAGAGCCAAGGCCAAATTATATATATGGCTTTCAACGGATGGAACGGGAACACCGAACCTGGATTGTGTTTGGAAATGATATCGATTTTAGATGGGGACCATCGAAGGTTTTGTTTTTGACCTTCGAGCACACGTGATCTCATTCAGACATCGAAGATCGCGTGGATCCTGAATCCTGAACAACCAAAGGGTGAAGGCAGTTAGACCCCCCAAACCTACCCCAACCACTTTCTCAGGAAGAACCCGGAAATGTAGGGAGGCTCTGAAAGTATGGGCCATGTTTGGATATGTTTGGTAATCCATGTTTAGCAGAGGTGGCCCCCCAAACCCCCACTTCGGCTCCGGCCAACCGGCCCTTGATTCCACCAGGCCTGATCCGGAGGAGGAAGAGGCCGGATCGCTCTCGGTGCATTGGGCTTGGATCCTGGGGCACCGGACGTGGTGGAACGAGTGCCAAAACGCAGGGCGAGCAGACCGAGATGATGCAACAAACCCGCCGCCTAGTACTGGTGAGTAACCCCCTGGGTTGTGATATAGATACGGTAGATCATGATTTTAAGCTTTCTCTTCCAGTCCAGCATGTCGGAAAGGGGTGTCGATGTGACCTTGCGAACGTTGAGAAAGGAGACCAAACCATGTCGACGGAATCTTCACCTCAAGTGGGAGATTCATTCCAATGCGCCTCAGAAGACCAACCGCAGCTCCAACCAATGCGCCCCACCGCCTCACGGCCTCACCTCGACCGCCTCACCTCGACCGTCCGTGCAGGAGGATCCTCAGTACGACGGCTCCGAGCGGGTCGATCGCTCCGGTCTGGGCTCGAAAGACTCGCGGCGGAACGCGCGCTCCGTTCAGGACGGGTGACGGCGAACGGATTTGCCAGGTTTCAAAGGACATACACAAATTTTAAAGGCAGGGGAGCAACGGCCAGTCTTCTTACGTTGCCCAACGAAGATACAGAAGACTGGTGGAAGCATTCAGGGACGCCTGAATGTGTACCTGCCATTTTCCTATACCGTAAAGAGCTAATGAGTTCCCTCCGTCTCACCCATGTTCAACAATACAAGTGACGCGGACTCCTTCACCATTCTGCTTGCCAGTCAAGGTCTGCGGTTATTGTATTCACTAGAGTGGGCTACCTTCACCGATTCAGCTCTTGTGAGCATCTCTCTAAGTGTGTGCCGCCACAGAGTCCCACTGCGGGCTGTGGTGTTATCCCCACCGAGGGGCTCAGCATGTGCATAGACCCAATTTGTTGGGGGATCCCTTCTGATTGTGCCTTTCCTTCACGTGAACTTCACTTGCAACCCCACTGGCTTACGGAACTGCACGAGACTGCTGATTGAACGCCGCAGGGCTTACTGGGATTGAATGCTGCAGGGCCCACTGACTTACCTGCGCATGTGCGAACCACGAAACGACACGAAACGAACTCAGAGTACGGCCGACCGTGACGTGAGGGAAGTGAGACACATGTCACATGAGGCTTTTAGGATGGGGGGCACACTGATTTTTTATTCCACGGGGGGGTGTTACATATCAGAATTTCCTTTTTGTAATAATTTCTAGTGGAATCCTTTTTTGGCATGGAGGCCTGACGTATATGTCAGTACCCCCCTCTGGAATAACAAAGTACAACATGTCGGTGAATGAAGTTGAATCATCTGATTTGAATGGCTCCATTCGTTCTTGTCTCAAGCCAACAGGTAAATGAAAAGGAATGAAAAGATAAGCATCAATCAAACCCAAGTGCAAAATAGACTTCAAAACACATAAAGGAAACAATAGAAGTCTTTTGACATGATGTTGAATGACCTCTGGCAGAATAATGTCCAATGATTTTATTATTCCTACCCCATCAAAGTTACATGGAGGATATTCACAACACCTATGTAAAAGGGTGTTGGAATTATTAATAAACTATTCTGAGAGGGGGGTTACGTCCACCCCCCCAAGGCACCCCCCATCTTTTAGGTATCAGGTGAAGCTTTAGCCAAGGGAGATAAGAGAGCACCGTATTCGGCCAAACGTGACGTGAAGGGAGTGAGAAACGTGAGGCCTTTAGGTATCAGGTGAAGCTTTAGTCAAGGGAGCGCCGTATACGGCGAAACGTAACGTGAGGAGAGTGAGAAACGTGAGTGGGTTTTCTGTTTTGGTCCGTTGGGTTTTTCTTTCCTGCTGTTCCTTTTCGTTTTCTTGAGGCCTTTCTTTAGGTTCCAGGTGCCTTTCAGTCAATCGAGCGCCGGTTACGGCTTTGCTTGAGCGCCGGTGACGGCAATACCTTCGGGCCACCCCAACCCACCCTCCCCCTACCTCCTTGCACCTAATCCGTTGCTATCCCACCCGCTATCTAGGGTAATAGAAGGAAATCGCACTCAACATACTTGTGTGTTGGTGCCTTTCCTTCTGTTTCTCCTGTCCTAGTCCTACCTACCCGGGCGGTCTAAGACTAAAGTCCCGCTCGCTAACTATTGCATTTACTTCATTCCGCTACATTCCGCTAAGTAATAAGTAATTAGAAGGTTTCATAAATAGTGGGCCTCGTCACTACACCTACCTTTCTCTCTTGCCCTCTTCGTTTTTTTTTTCTGTCTTTCTTTCCTGTCTCTCTAAGGCTTGTTAGGTGGCCATTTTAAAGTGGCGCGTTGATTTTGTCGGTTTCCGGACAGCGATGTGTGGTCCTCTACCCCTATCTTTCCTTCTTGCCTTTTTTCTCTTGCTCTTTCTGTCTTTCTTTCCTTTCTTCCTAAGGTCCTAAGGCTTGTTAGGTGGCTATATAGGTGCTCGGGATCCTGAACCACATCTCGTTTTTTCCACGGAAACCCTTCAGAGCGCCGGACCACGGCTCTGTGTGTGTGTGTCGCTTCCTGTGGCAAACGACATACACAAATTGTAAAGGCAGGGGGGGCAACGGCCAGTCTTCTTACGTTGCCCAACGAAGCTACAGAAGACTGGTGGAAACATTCAGGTACGCCTGAATGTGTACCTGCCATTTTCCTATACCATAAAGAGCTAGTGAGTTCCCTCCGTCTCACCCATGTTCAACAATACAAGCGGCGCGGACTCCTTCACCATTCTGTTTGCAAGTCAAGGTCTATAGTTTGCAGCGGGTATTGTATTCACTAGAGTTGACTACCTTCACCGATTCAGCTCTTGCGAGCATCTCTCTATAAGTGTGTGTGTGTCCTGTTCTTCGGATCCCCATGGAGATGTTTTTGGTTTGGATCTATCCTTGGAAAATTTCCTCTATATGAAATGTTTGTGGGATGATAACCGATTATAAAGGGGTGATGTTTTTTTCCCAATGGAAGATGGGGCTTAGTCGATGGGCGTGGGTCAAAATGGGTTTGCTAAGCAGTACCCTACAAATGACGGAAGGTTGGCGTCCCTTGGGCCCTTGTTCATGTTCATGGGTAGCCCGGGTTACCCACCGACAGTTGGAACCGAGCAGGTTTGCGAATTTGTATACAGTACACATATAGGAGTGACTGGTGACTGGCTGGAACACCATCGGCCCCTTTTCTAGTCCAGGTGTGATGGATTCAGGTTCAACTTAGGTGTGTGAAGTGACTTTGATTGACTGATTGACATTGCTGTTCCAAATTGATGTGCAATGATATGCAACGCAGGGACTGCAGAACTGGTGAAATGCCGCAACCCATGGGGCGGGTTCCCTGCAATATATGACCCACACAGACCCATGGATGTTTGCAAGAAGACACATTCACCAATAAGAAACCTGGCAACTCAGTCACGCAAGAGTTTGTTTCACCAAAAATGATACAAATTTCGACTAAAAGTCCTACACTCAGGATTCCAACTACGTTTCAGAGTGGATGGCACAATTTCCCCCAAGATGTCCTTTAAATGGGTCCATAGGTCCATATAAACCACCGGACTTGGGGGCCCAAAAGTGCCATCTGCCGGGCGTTCGGGCAGCTCCGTTCACCGCTCAGTTCACCGAGCCGCTGTCCAGGATGATCGTGCTGGGACACCATCCATCTCTCGGGCAGCTGTCCAGGCGAGAATCCGTAGAATTCCCAGTATAGAAGATTTCTTCTATAATATTAATCAATAGTACAAGAATGCTACTACTAGTAGTAACTAATGCCAGCCCCGTTCGTAGCGTCTCAATTGCCAATTGGGTAGGGACTCCTACATGGACTTGGGTGCCGAACCTCCACGGGCTTTTGGATGAGCCAAAACCACCCCCGTCTTGTGACTCCTGGGTACCGTTGGAAGTAGTGTGGATTTTAAGGATATTTAGGGGTAGTCTTGCGAATCATTGCACCCAAGTAGGCTTTGGGAGATGTCAATGCGCACGTCAGATGATTTAAAACGCCTCCAGCCTCATGTTTTTCTTGGGTTAAACAGTATTGGAAGATATACCGTCATCGGAAAGAACCACCCGTTTCGTCCAATGAGGTCTTCCACTCACAGCACTCTCACCACTCTCCACTCCACAACCACCGCCCCCCTGCGAGGCGGCGGCCAAGCTCGAGACGCGGGTGGCGGGGCCGACGATGTCCATGGAGGACGCGCGCTCCGTGGAAGACCCCGTGATGGTCGAGTCCGAGCTACTGGTGCAGGCAGCTGGCAGCCTCGAAGGGCGGAGGAGTGGTCCGTGGAGAAACTGGGGAGTGGTCCGTGGTGAAACCGTGGTCCTGTTTTGGGTGGCGAACTTCACATTGGACATTTGCTTGACATTTGCACGGTGACGAGCTGGTGATCAACACTGCAGGCTGCAGGCTCCAAACGGTGTACACAGACTCAAAGATGTGTCACATGTTGGTTGGCAGGCAAAGCCGGCGAAGGCCAAGGGGGGTTGGGGTGTGGGGTGATGTACCACGCTTGTGTGCTTGAGTGTTTCTAGCTTGCTTGGGTGTTCGAGTTGTTTTCTTTGGAACTTATGGATCGCCTTTGGACTTTGAACACCCCTTTGACAGTTCAGAAATGTTGTGGTATGTTATGTTGGTCGATGTGCATCTTAATTAGGTCATCACCATCATCATCATACTCCAGTATCAGTCCTTTTTGCAGGTTTTGTGGATCAAGATTCTCGAGATCCAGAAGCTCCTGTAGACCGCCAAATTGATAGAAGTTCGTACATCCCCACTAGAAATGTACTGTATTCGAAACCGTTTCTACCTTGAGTCTCCAAAGACCTTTTTTTTCTGCGTTTTTGTTTTTGGTCTAATATTTTTGCGTTTTTGCTCGAAAAACGTGTTTTTAGAAATGAGGACTCAAAAAAAGGTGCAGAGTGAATCTTCATCCGGACGCGTCCGGCACGGACGCTTAAAGACGCCTTTTGGATGCAAAAAGATGCGTTTTGGACGCCGAAAAAAGGTCTCAGGACACTGTCTAAGGAGGATCTGCCAGGGCACACACAAAAAAGGAACATTTCGTGACATATGCAAAAAAGAGTGCTTTCTTTCAAAAACCTCTTTTTCTTGGAAAGGCAAATTTAAAAGGGTCATTGGAGCCTCAAGGTATCTATTTGGGGCCCTGAGTTGGTTGTGCAATTGAGTTCGGATGCGAAGTCTGAACCCTTCAGAACCAGAGAGTTTACTTCAGGATTCACTACCCAAAGTCCACCCGCAGGCGCAGGGGGATTGAATCATGGAGTTGTGCGATCTCCTTGAGCAGTTCCTATAGAGCTTTTTTCCACTGTTTGAAGCATGCTCAGAATCCACCAATGGACCCGTTAAAACCATGTAAAACCTACAGCAGTAAAAACTTGATTGCAATTTGCTGAATTCATAGTGAATCGTTCCTTGGAAGAGCATCCTCGGGCGGATCGTTTTTCTCGGCGCTCCAGGGGCCGCAAAAGAAGCGCGGGGGCCCAGGTGACAGGCGAGGATAGGCCACCGGCGCGGGACGATCGCATGGTGTCAAGAAAGGTGAGCATGGGCGACCCCACAAAGCCCACCCAGACGCTCATGGACCCAACTAACTAGGGGCCATACCCGAATCCTTTGGAGGGGTCCGGACCCCCAAATCCCTATTGTTTTGAGGGAGCAAGGCTAGATTGACGGAGCAGTCGAGCCAAAAATAACAAACAAAGAACTGTCCAACTGCCCCAACTTTGGACCGAGAAACGGGATGGAAAGGGATGAACCAATGGATTGTAGACATCAGAGCTCCAGATCTTCACTCTGGTGTTGAGCTCCAATTTCTTTTCCAGTCACCGAGTTGGGCGTTCGTGAGGTGACCCTTGTTGGAACACCTTCGCGAGCGCAACGGACACCGGGGATGTGGGTCAGCTGGAGCGGTTCCTCATCGTCGCTCGCACCAGTGCGATGTGGGGCATGACCCCTTTACGGTAGCCAGCTATACGGTTGGAATCTTTCTACACAGTTGCAGGTGCCAGTTGGCAGATAGTGATCAGTTGCTGCCTGGTGACATCAACGTGACATCAACCCAGGAGCCCCTCCCCACTAGTGAAGATGTTGTATTATGTTTAATGCTGAAAGACAAGAGATTGGGAGCCTTCTGAACCAGTCTGGCAGGATTCACTTTGTCGCGAACCTAATGTTTTTTTTACTCCCCTTGAGACTGTGGATGTGCATGCTGTCGCAGCTCATGCAGCTCTCAAAACAGCAAAGGCAAAAAGATCACCCATGAACAGGCGATGAGTTCTGGAGACTTCAGCTTTGACACACCTGCCATGCCTTTCATGCGGCAGAATGCGAGTGACGCACACGGAGCCGTGCCATTGGGTGAACAAAACCACACATGGTGCAGACAAAACCACACGACGACGTCCGCTCCGATCTGGAAATAAACACAAACCACCACACACCTTGTCCATCCTTGTCCCGCATTGGTGCCAGATTCTCAGTGCCAAAGCTGATGATGCCTCACCCCGAGAAGTCTCAGGCGTGCAGCTGGTCCCATTTTTCATGGGGTACCGGGAAATCGCGGGTTTTTCGCTTTCTGCCTTGCTTTCTGCCCGCGGCGGAATGGGTGAATGATGGGGAATGAGTCGGGCGAAGTGGTCTAGCCCTGGACACCCCCCCTGCACACCCACCTCAGGGACCGAAAACAGTGCCGGGCGAATTGCCCATCTACCGAATGACAGCTGTGGTAGACTTAGAGCACCCAGCAGGGCTTAGGAGCCAACATTGGGAGCAAATCATCAGGGCTTAGCCAGCGGAACATGTTGTTCGAGGATGTGACAAACTGTGCGGCTCAGCAGAGCCACAGAAAACTACTGTTGAAACTCACGCAGCTCAGGGTGTGGCGTGCTTTTTGCGTGAGGTCGGACAACTCTTGATACATCCAACATCATCCAACCCAGGTCTATGCAGGTCTGAAGAAGAAATACTGTCCAGTCACAACTTCACATACCTGATATACCCCAGTGGGTTTAATACACTACACTTGATTCACATGATTGTTCAGTAGCGCTAGAAAAGAGTGTTGCACTGTTTATTGGAAGAACTTGTGCTGTGATGTTCTTAAGCTGCTCGAATTGTTTTAACAAACACCAATGTCCAGTGACAAGTAAGCTGCAAGTGGAACATTCTGCAGAGAAGTCGAACGGTGATTTTTTGAGAAAGGTGGTCAGGTACTCGTAGCGATTTCTTCAGACTTGTAGTTGGAAGAAGGGATGTCTAGAGATATTTACTGTATGCATCAGGTTTGGAAGGCTCGGGCTTGCATGTTTCATCCCACTGATTGCCAATGTTATGTTATTTGGCAGTCCAGTTTGCCTAGTCAACTATACCAGTGTGGGGATATGTCGCAAACGTATGCAACAGTTATCCACTGATTTGCGATTCACCAAGTAGGCAAGCAACAGTAGGCAAGCGACAATAGTCACTTCTGAAGATTGGAGCAAAGTGCCAAGACTCACTTTTACTCAACTCCTTGCACCCATAGCTATGTGCGCCCTTAGTGTCAAGGGCTTAAGCGCCGGCCTAAGCAACAAGGAGCTGCGGAAGGCCTTCTGTACTGCAAATGCCATTGCGTTCAGTAACGCAACTCACAACAATTCCAAATTCAAAGCACAAAATCACATTCAAATCACATTCAAATTATGGCTGCAAAAAAAAAGAAACCCTCCTAGCAAAGCGGAAGAGAATCGAGGGGTGGAGCAATTTCAGGCCATCGTGGCCTTAATGCGTGCTCCTCTCAATTCAGCAATGTAGGAAGGGTCAAGTCTGCTGACCACCCTGCCGACATCACATAGGTCATTGCGTCAACCGTCAAGGCAGCAGGCGCTGAATAGATTTGGTATCCAGTAGCACTTTGCAAAATTTACTGACAGCGGCAAAATCCCAGGCGATGGTTCGCACGGCCCGACTGTACGTTACGATCCAGCTGAATGCACCAAAAGAGTCAGGGTCAGGGGAGGCTGCCGCCCCTGCCAAAAACTACACATCCGGCCAAGAGCCAGAGGAGCCATCCAGTCATCAGTCAAGAAGTCACTGTCGAAGGGGCTCACTTTGCCCACTTGCACTTTGCTGCAGCTTCCCCTGACCAAGCTGCCCGGAGAGGGCTTCGGCTTTCACAAAGAACACTTCTCGACCAAGAACTCAAGCAGCTTGGCAGCATTTTCAGGCTTCTTTCTTGGAATCGCCAGCCCGTGGTTCTGAAGTTGGCGGAGCACTTGCGCATCCAGCGCGGTGAGGCGCTGCTCCACGGTCTCCCATGCACCTCGTCACTGGGAACATGGCCTTCAATCAAAGTCTCAATGAATCTGGCTGCCAGAGGAGGGAAGGGTGAGGCGCCCCTTTGCACTTGTGGTGGCGCCGACTTGGCAGGTGTGGGGAGAGCCCTGAGAATGCGCTCTTCCAGTTTCTTGAACTCTGCCTCCCTTTGCTCATGCTCGGCTCTTTTCTTTTCTGCCTCACGGGCAGCAGCAGCAGAAGCCTCTGTTTCCTTGCGGAACTAGCGACAATAATCAGTCAGTGATGTGGTGCGTGAGTGGCGTCTTTCGTTTTTCTATTCGGTGAGTGAACTCGATCATGTGCCTATATAGTACAAACCAGTAGTATGGCCTATAAGCAGGGGAATGTTTCCTCCACCCTTACAGGGCGCAAGATGACGGCAACTTGTCGGCCTGAAACATTTTCTTTGTAGACCATCGGGCTACACATATGCACGTCTCAGATAAGCTCAACATATTGCACATGATGCCCTTGTAGTAGTAGATTTGTTCTGAGGTGTTAAATAGTTAATGTTAAAACAACATATATATATATCCTGCGCATCGGTTTGCCGCAATGTGCATTTTGATGTTCGACCCTTCTTTGTTTGAGATTGATTATTCGTTCACAGGAACCAGAGTTTCCTCAAGAGCTGAACCTGATACATGGTTTGCAATACAAACTTGGGTCATTTATTTGCACATCTTGGCATCCTGTGAACATCCAGGCACCCTCCTAGTCAGACCGATCCGTACTGATCTTTGCCTCCGCTGACTGACTCCAGAGCAGAGTCTCAATCCACTGACCTTTTTCGCGCCAGGGCAATGGCGACCTCGAACGCTGTGCAGAGATCGCTTCAGAGGCCAGAAATGGGCATCGTGTGGTTTCATTCTCGACATGGCAATGGCGGGAAACTGGACATGGATGGAGTGCTGGAGATATAATATACTCCGCAGCGTTGACAATAGTTTGGACCCTTAGGCGGCGTGATCAGTTGTCGGCCATCGTGACTCTTAATCCAACAGATCGGAAATTGCTCATGTTCACCAAAAAAACAGGTTCTGCACTCTAGCTTGGACGAATCAAGGGTGTGGGCACCCTTTGTTGCTAAAAGTTCACTATACTCACACCATGAATGGTTTAAACCAAACCCTTCAGTGTCGCCATTGCAGGGGTAGGTTTTCTAGCCGTTGTAGATTGGTTAGCAGGAAGTTGTTGGTTGTCCGTGCGGTGCGAAGAGGCGGTGGTCGCTTGATGGTCGCTGGTTGAGACAAAGTTGGATGAATGGCGATCCTCTTTGGGGATGATTTGGTGTGCCGGACCCAAACTTCGGGATGTTCTTCTCAGAGGCTGAGTTTGTTTTCTATAGCAGGTCAGGTAAAAAGGGTCCGGACCCCTGACTGCTGACTGCTCCATGGGGTTGGTTGGTGGGTATGGGATCGGCCGTTGTTCGCCCAAGCCTTGGCTTTTCAGCGGTGAAGCATTCAGCTCTTGGGGACCTGAAGGCTTCAAACCAGGACTTTCCGAAAGCTGGGTGCTGATTTGGTCGCCTGAAAGTGGTCTTTGATAGTTGACGCACATTGTGTTTGTGTGTTTGTGTGTGTGTTCAAGATCTTGCTTTCTTCGAGGCCGTCAGCCATCACTATGCATCCTTGAGCCACAAGGAGCAGAGAAGGGCGTGAAGAGGGCAAGTTGTACTCAGTCATACTCGGTCCCTGACAGGTGGAACAAAAGTCCTATGACATCCATTCCAGTTCCGTATCGGGATGGAGGCAGGGTACGGTATGTAAAGGGTCGGAAACCATGCACTCACTTGGGGGTCGGAAACCATCCCCTTTGGAACGCATAGTTATTAGACTTTGTTGGAGAAGAGAACTATACCACAGACTGTTGTCAGATGATGAGGTGAATGATTCAGACATCTATGAGTATTTGGACCTGTATCAGGCAATGAACGAGTCACGTGGGGTATAAGCTTTGGGTTAAATTTGGTCTATGAAATGTACTTAGAATTGGATCCCCTGCCTGCAGGGGTGTGTGCAGGGGGTACAGACTCCCGCCTGGGAGTCTCTTGGGGGAGATGCTGAAGATCCTATTGTTCTTGGTGAGCAATTCCAACCAATAGGGTATTTCTGCTGCGGCGGTTGAGCAGTAGGCAGAAACTAAATCCCTCTTTGA